TTCATATCAGCTCTGCGGCTGATGAATAGCAAATAGCATCAGAGAAAGAAAGAGGAGACAGAGAGGGAGGGGAGGAGGGAGGGGGAGGAGGGAAGAGGGGGAAGGAGGGAGGGAGGTATGAGGAGGGGGGAGGAGGGAGGAGGAGGGAGGCCTCTAGGTCATCAAAGTCAAGTGGATACATAAGCCGGTTGGCCACCTCGGGAGTGTGGAGTGTCTCTGGTGGTGGGTTGTGGAGCGCTTTGCATCTAAGTTTAACAGTTCTGTCTGTCTGTTTGGTGCGGGGGGCGGGGTTTGGACCCAGGGGCGCTGTACCACTGAGCTCCTCTTCCAGCCCTTTACATATTTTTAGACAGGGGCCGGCTGAGTTACTGAGGCTGGTCTTTCCATCCCTCCGCCTCAGTGTACTGTCAGGGACTCACAGACGAGGTCTTCTCTTCTGTCCAAGGGAGTGTGGCTGCACCATGGGTGTGGATTAGAAGGGGTGCCACTTGTGGGCAGGTTAATTTGGGAAAGGTGCCCTGCTGAATAGACATGACTTGGCAATCAAATAGGAGTTGACTTTCAGCCCCTCCACTCACCCCTGGCCTCTTTGTGCAGTGCATATCCTGAACAACTGCACATCACAGCCTTGTCTCCTTGATATTAACCAAACACCCTTGACATTCTTATCCGGGAGGAGCTACAGTGATTGTCTGGACATCCCTGGAAGCAACCTCTGCCAGTGGTCCCCTTCCCAGCCCTGAGAATTCTCACGCCCCACCCCCCAATGTTGTAGAGGGACCTGGCCAGGCTCGGGTCTCCTTGCCTCAGGTGCCCGTGAGCAGGGCAGAGCCACCTGCTCATAAGTGTTCCCCCTCTGCAGTGGAGCAGCCCCTGGACCATGGCAGCCTGAGGCAGCTGGTGCTGGACAATTACGCCCAGAAGGAAGTTGGCGGGTCCACAGCCTCACCCAGCGAAACCCGAGGCCGGCGAGACCAACCAAAAGAATAAAGGTTTTGTTCCTAACCTCAGTGCCTCCTCGGTGCCTTCTCCTTCTCGGCTGCTGAGGGAGCGGGCACTGGGCCCCGGCAGGTGGGGGTGAGAAGGCCGGGTGTCAGGGCCGCCACAGGAGAGGGACCGGGGGTCAGCGCTGCCGTGGACCTTCGAGCCGGTGGCCAGAGGCGCAGCAGGGGGCGGGCCTGTGTGTCGCCCGTGCGTCTCCATTCCCGGGGCTCCGTGCCCATGTCGGGGGCTGTGCGCCCGTGTGCACACCACTCTGTCCCTCTCCCCGGTCAGCTGTCACTTCACAGCCCCATCCCGGGTGTCCTGCCTGAGCCACCCTCTGCCTTCCTGGGTGAGCTGAGCCACCGGGGCTGCCTGTCCCTGCAGGGGCCCAGCACAGGGTCTCTGGAAGGACTGGGAGGCCATGGGGGACACACTGTGGCAGGGTGTGGACTGACACAGGCCCTGAATGCCCTGGAGGGTCCTGCCCCCCGCCCCGCCCCCAGCACTGGATGTGGCCCCAGCTCCCAGCATCCAGGGTGACATCAGGGGCTGCAGGGACAGTCCCACCTGGCTCCTCCAGCCTCTGGGACCCTTTGTTCCCTGCACGTGTCCCCAGTGGAGCTCACAAGCGGGGATCTTTGCTGCTTTGTCACCATTCACCCCGGCCTTGTCCCAATTCTTGGGGATTCCCTGGGAACCCCCTTCCCTTCTCCTCTGTGGTCCCTGGGGAAGTTGTCCCCCCATCCTCAAGCCACGAGGGCAGGGGACTGATCAGGTGACCCAGGCCTGCCAATCAGAGCACTGCACTGGCCAATCCCAGCAGTTAGCTCAGGGTTGGATCAGGTACCCCAGAGAGACCCCAGGAAGACCTAGTCGGTACTTGTGTGAGGCTGGAAGACAGAGGTTTGCCGAGTGGGTAGAAGAGCTGGGAGCGGCTGAGAGCCATTTTGCCATCACTGAGAGCAGAGCAACCTACAAGAAAGAGCTGTGGGGAGGCCGCCGCAGGGTTGGGTGCATTGTTTGAGTTCCTGGAGGCAGCTGTGCCTGAAGTCCTTGGAATTACTGGTTTTGTGAACCCAATTGATTCTTAAGTTTGGATTCTTGCAGCCATAATAGACCTGAGTGCTTCAACATGAGTCAACTCAATTCCAGGCCTGGGCCCCAGACAGGAGCAGAGATCAGCCCCCCTCCCCCAATTTGCTAGGAGAGAAGTACAACTTATACTTTATCTGACCTGAAATGGCCCTTTTATGGTTAACAGGCACGATTTTTGCCTGGTGAGCCATGTTCTTAGCCCTCTTCACTCTCACGGGGCCCATCGCAGCCTCTGGGAGACGATCCCCATGGTGTTCCCAAAGGAAAGGTGTCATGAAGCCGGGCTCTATGAACACTTGAGCTGTTGGGAAGCAAGGGCTGTGGTATCCAATTAATAGGCCCTTGATTGGGACAGTCCTAAGTGAATGCAAAGGTCTATCTCAAATAAAGAGTCACTAAGATTCAAGATAAGGACAAAAGGGTCAGCATTAGCTCATATGCCGCCTTTGTGCAGATCAGCAAAGGGCCCTCCTTTCCCAAGGCGCTTCTGTCTGAGGAACGTCATGACCAGCACACAAGCTCTTGTTTATTTGAACTTGGCCTCGGGATGGATTTCCAGCTGCAGGCTGTGTGGCCACGTGGTCATCTGTAAGTACCCAGACGGAGATGGAGGCGGGGCAGGGTGGAGGCCAGACAGGGTAGAGGCTGACTGGGAAGGAGACCGGGAGCCCAGGTGGCCGGCCTGCTTTAGTCCTTCTCCTCCCCATGGGTGATGATGTGCACCAGGTTCTTGTAGTCCAGGTTGCCCGTCACGTCAGGGGGGAAGGCCGTGAACATCTGGTCGATCTGCAAACACCAGCAAGATGCTGAACAAGACAGAGGGGCTGGAGCTGGGTGAGGGGCTCGTGCCACGGATGCAGAGGCCCCTGGACGCGCGGGTGTGGGATGGCCATCCTGGCCTCCCGCGAGGCTGGGGCTTGGGGTCCAGCTGCCTCTGTGCAGAGCCCCCTCTCCCGAGGTCATGCCCGCTCTAGGGCAGCTCACCGGGGCCTGGTGTAGGGGTGAAGGCTTAGCCTTGTGCCCAAGCCAGACCCACAGTAGGGAGGTCCCAGGCAGAGACCCTCGCTGACCCTGAATCTCAGCTCCACACCTTCCTCCCTCCTCAGGTGCTGACCCCAGCCCCTCAAGTGGACGAGCTGCTGGTACGTTCCTGGACACCCAGCCCCCACGGGGAGCAGAGGGATCAGCGACCCTTCAGGGGCCAGGTGGGTCACATGAGGGAGCCTACGCCTGGCGGGGTCTGTGGCTAAGTGGGGGTGCGCAGCTGGACCGGTTGAGGGTGGCCGCGCCGGCAAGAAGCCAGACTCCTCAAAGGAAACTAGGAATCTAGATCTGTCCTAAACACGTAGATTTCCCACTTAGCAAGCGTCAGTGGTTTGCTTGATACAGCTGATGCTGGTGCCGCCCAGTCACAGAACCGAGCTTTCCTTTCTGCCTGTTTGAGCCTCACAGAATACCTCGAGGTTCGTTCCACTCTCGTTTCCACCTTACGGATGAGGAAACTGAGGCACAAAGGTTAAGGAGCTTGTCCCAGGTCTCCCATCCAATGGGAGGTGAAGGACGCTCTTTGCATCGCTTGAGTTTTGTAGGAAAAATGTAAATAGAATTTTGAACAAAATGGGGAACTGGATGGACACGGGCCCCAGAGGCCTCAAGGTGGCTACTTTAAATGGACTCCTTAAGGCTCCTTATTAATGTTCACATGACAGTTGCTCCTTGAGGAACTTTTGGCAAATTAGCTAATGTCCCCTCTTCTGGACTCACTACTGCCACCTGCTGGGAAATGTGTGCAACAACAGCCTGATCTAGGATGCCTGTAGGAAAGAAGGTGCTGTGGGGGGGTGTTGATCAGTGCTCAGGTTGCACGACAGTCCATGGTGGGTGGCCCTTCATGGCACAGTAAATGGGCGCTCTCACCGTGTCTCAGTGCATGTGGGGAAGGCAGGACCTGGAGTCAGACAGGCCTGGGTGTGGGTCCCCGCTCTGGCATTCACCATTAGCACTGTCATTTTAGACAAGTGACTTACTTCCCCAGGCCTCAGTTTCCTCATCTATAAAATGACAATGATCCTGATCCTCACAGAGTGACTGAGAGAATGAATATGGCCAGGGCTCCCTCCCTCCCTCTCTGGGACGGGTGATTCAGCGGAGACAGAGCCCCTGGGAGGACCAGGCGCTGGACGGGAGGGAGTGTCTGAAGGGACCCTACCTCCTCCTTGGAGAACCTCTCTGCCTGTGTGGTCAGCATCTCCCGCACGCTGCAGAGAGAGGACAGAGGTGTAGGTGCCAGGTGGGGGCAAGGAGAACAGGCGCCACCCGCCCCCGGGGGAAGCCACTCACTAGTCGGCCTTCAGCACCCCTTTGCCTTCCGGGTCGAACACCTTGAACGCATTGAGGATGGTCTCCTCGGGGTCCGCCCCTGAAATGGAGAACAGGGCCCACAGGTGCTGCAGGCGGCTGGGGACCGTGGCACCCAGGACGCAAGGCCCAAGTCCCTTCAGAGATGGAGGGGCCAGAGCAAGCCTGCGTGCCTAGCTGGGAGGAGACCCTTCCTTCCTCTGGGCACTGAGCCTGGGGTTTTGAAAGAGGGCTGAGAGGACAGGTGTGTCTGAACTAACTGCAGGTCAAGTTTGATCTAGGTTTCAGAAAGACACTGAACCCTGCTAGCTGTGTGGCCTCAGGCAAGTGACTTTCTGTCTCTGAGCCTAGGTTCCCCACCCATAGATGAGGGAAAAGAGTGAAACTTACATCCTAGGTGCTGCTCATTGAGGTAAGGCACCCAAGTGCTTAGCATGAGCCTTGGAGGGACGACGGCTGACATTTCTATCCTATTTTCCCTCCAGTTCCCTGGTGCGTCCTTGGGAGCTGCCCACTTTCTCCCAGCCCTGTCCATCTAGTGCTTAAATTGACACCCAGAACCGAAGACATGCTAAGAGGCACACACATGTGCACATGCATGCGCGCGCACACACACACACACACACACACACACACACACACACACACACAGAGGAGCATGTGCACAGGCCTACCCTTGAGTTTCTCCCCAAACATTGTCAGGAACACGGTGAAGTTAATGGGCCCCGGAGCCTCCTTGATCATTTCATCAATTTCCTCGTTCTTCACGTTCACACGCCCTGCAGTGGGGACACGGGGCCTCAGTGCTGGCAGAGGGACAGTGGCTGACATTTGTCATTGTGCCTCAAGGAATCTCCTCTAGGGACAGTCAGAAATGGGGAGGACGGGGCCAGAGTTCCCTGGGGAGATGCTCCCCGTGGGCCGGAAAGCCAGGTGCACCCCCACAGTCCATGGGGGGACGGCTGGTTCTGGGGACTGAAACCAGGGGTGCTTTACCCCTGAGCCGCATCCCCAGCCCTTTCTGTCCTTATTTTTTTGAGACAGGATCTCAGTGGGTCCCGGAGATTCTGACACACCTGCTCTTGGTCCTGCTGATGCCTTTATAACCCCCTATGCAAATAAGAACAAGCTGCCCCTGGCCACCATCTCTGTTTTAGATATGAAAAGCTAGGGCAGCTATATTCGAGGTGACCCTGAGTTCTGAGGATAGGGATCGGTGGCGGTGGGTGGGGGTAGCAGATTGGACATGTATATTTTGAAAGAAGCTCCGTGCTCTCCCGATCACACCCTCGAGATGTTAAATAAAGCTGAGTCCAGAATAGAACGATCCCAGTTATTTGAGAAAAACAACAGATATGCCTAGAAAGACTCCAAAGAGAGAAACTGAAAGGTTAACGCGGAATGTGGCCTTTCGGGGGACCGTCGTCCTCTCCCGTATGTTTTGCAGAATGTCTGCTTTCTAGCGAGAGCTGGCCGAGTGGAGCTGCTCCTAAGAAAACTGAAAGGTGCAGGAAAGCGTCTGTCCCCTCCTCTGAAGTTCTCTGAAGGTCAGTTGTGGCGCCGTCTTTCTTTG